TCTCCAGAGCAACGAAATAGTGCTGCAGTTTCTTGCCTTCAGCAGGTGTGTTCTCGACTGTTCTTTCTCTCCTGCTTCTGCGTTTCCTGCATTGCAGAGAAGCCCTGGAGGCCCGGACCTGACGGACATCTCTGGCCGGCTGTGTGCTGTGCAGGCCAGGGAGTGCCCACGGCCCTCCCTGAGAGCTCTGGGACCGCCCAGCCCCTCGCCTGTGTCCTCAGAGTGTGGACGGGTGCTGGCTGGTCTCGGTGTCCAGGGGAAGGTGGCCAGCGTGGGTGCCCAGCTGCCCCTGCTTGGGGCCCCCGAAGCCCCAGGACCCGTGCCGTGGACATGGGCTGATTGGGGCTGTCGTTGCGTTCAGAGCGCCCCAGGACTCGCGGGCAGCGCCGTGGCCCGAGACCGTGTACTTCACCTTCCAGTTCTACCGCTTCCCGCCCACCACCACGCCCCGCCTGCAGCTGGTCCCGCTGGACGGCACTGGGGGGCCCGGCCCGGCCTCCCTGACGCACCTGCTGGTCCCGGTGAACAAAGATGCCTCCTCTGACGCGGGTAGGTGTTGGGGCCCGGCCGGGAGCAGGAGCTCGACCTGCCTCACGGAGGGGTGAGGGTGGGGGGCGTCCGGCACCCCAGGGTTGTGTGGTGTCCCCCTCCTGTCACAGACCCCCAGACCTGGCCTTTCCTTGCTGCGCTTCCTTCTGGGACCGGGCCATGGTGACTAGCGCTGTCAAGGGCCCGTCAAGCGGGGCTGAGTGGATCCGCCTGCCGCGCTCCGTTCTCTGGATTTTAACCTGCTTGCGTTCAGTCTTTGACACTGAGCGTGACACGAAGCGCTCGTGCGTGTCCGTGGGTGTGTGACGACGCAGGCAGCAGATGTGTGGGGCAGCGGCCTGCCCCGGTGCTGCCCGCTGCGCTCTGGCGTGGGGCCTTTCCTGGCCCCACGCCCCCCGGCAGCAGAGAGCAGCCGGCATTCGGGGGGCCTCTCCCGGCGCCCCGTCGGGTAGCAGAAAGCCAGCTCTCACCGAGGGGCTGCTCCGTCTGGGGGGCCTTCCGCTGGCTCTGTCCCTGGCGTGGGCTGGGCAGCTGCGGTGGACGGCCTTCTGCGTCCGCCACCGGCGCTGCCCTGGAGGAGCGCCTTGCCCGCGCTGCCTCGGGCCTCAGTGGCCCGAGTCTCCCTGGTCTCAGAGCGCCGCGTCAGCCCTTAGCACCCTCAGCGGTGGGCCCAGGGCACCCGCCCGTCATCGTAAACTGGACCGAAGGCACAGTGCCGTTTTGCTGGTCAGCTGTCCGTCCTGGGCCTAGCCACGCGGCGCGGGACAGCTGAGCAGAGCCCTGCCCCGCAACCGGGCCTGTTCGGGTTCTGACCAAGCGAAAGGCCTTGGCGGTGCTGGCCAGGGCCGGCAAGGGCAGAGGGCCCGGAGCCCGCGACACGGGGTTGCGGCCCCCCGCGAGACTGGCTCTGAGCCCCGAGCTTTCCAGGACGGCCTGGACACCGCACGGGAGCTGCGACGCGGGCACCCAGGAGCCCCGGCGTCTTCTTGCGGTGGACCGGCGGGTCTCCCGGGCAAGGGCGAGGGGTGTCCTACGCGACGTTGAAGGATGGCCTTGCAAGCTGCTCTGCCAGCGAGGAGGCGGTGCCCTGCAGCGCCCTGGGAGACTCACCCAGGCTGACGGCTCACGCACGGGCGTGGGGCCCGGCCGGGCCCCGGGGTCCCTGTGCAGGCCGCTGGCCCAGCCGGCCCCCCACCCCCGCCCCGCCGTGGGGCACCGCCCCAGGCCCCAGAGAGCTTTCTTAGAAAAAATTTAAACATCTAATTACTCTGTAGTCCCGGGAAATCGGAATGGAAATGAGCATTTAAACGGAACGACGGAGTAAACGCTGCCCGTCGGAACGGGAGGGGCTGTGAGACGCCAGAAGTGGGGAAACAGCTGGAGCCGCCGAGGGGGGCGGGGAGCGTCTCCAGACCGGGCCCAGCTGTTGGGCTGGGGAGAAGCAGCGCGGGCGGACAGGCCCAGAGCAGAGGCTTCACCACGGCCGGCGGGCCGCGGGCGCGGGCTGGGCGCCCCTCTCCTCGTGGGGGCCACGGGGTGGCGCGGGAGCACGGTCAGCGGGCGGAAGGCCAGCGCCGCCCCGACCGTTGGCCTGTGCCTCAGGCGAGGCCCCGGCAGTGTGGCGGGTGGGGAGGCGGGGGGACGGGGCCCCCCAGGCCCCGCTGCTTGTCTGCTCCTGGGGCTGCCCCGAGGACCTCCCCGCGCTCCGGCTCTGGCCTGGGGCCTCGGGCTGATCCTCCGTGAGTGGCCTCCAAATCTGCAGCCGCCGCTGCCCGCCGGGTCTCCCGCGAGGGTCCCCGATGGCGTTCAGGTGAGGGAGGCGCCCGCTGCCAGCGTAAACCCCTCTGCACGATGACCTGAGAGAAACATCAGGGTCCCCGAATTAAGCTTTCGCGCAAGTTGCAGTTCAAAAACGGAAGCTCCACACTCACATTTCCCTGTCATCGAGCGTTAAAATCGAGACCTCCGTGGCCCCTCGGCTCGCGTTTCCTCTCCGGGGAGGTCCTCTCCGTTTCCCGCACGGCTGCGCCTCAGCGAGCGCCTGCCCCGGGCCCGGCCCTGCGCACGGGTCTCTGCC